GCTGTGGCTCAAGTGGTAGAGCGCTAGCCTTGAGCTGAAGAGCTGAGGGACAGCGCCCAGGCCCAGAGTTCAGGCCCCATGACCAGACTCCCCCCCCAAAAAAAAAGAAAAAATAGACATTGTAAATGCTGACTTATGTAGAAGTTGTAATTTTTATATAGGGTAGCCAGAGAAAGCCTGATTAAGGTATCTTTTTTGTTTTGTGTATATTCTGAGGCTTGAACTCAAGGCCTGAGTGCTATCTCTGATTTTTTTTTAACTCAAAGCTAGCACACTACCATTTGAGCCAAAGTTCCACTTTTGGTATTTTAGTGTTTAATTGGAGATAATCTCATGGGCTTTCCTGCCTGGTCAAGGATCTTGGTTCAAAGCTAGCCCTAGTTCAAGCTCCAGGGCAGACTCACACAAAACAAATTCAGTATTTATTTATGACACCTAAATGTTAAATAGTAATTACACATTTAAATATTTTCCAATAGTAGTAGCTAGAAATTCTTAAAATCTGTATTTTCACCTCTTTTAACAACCAGGGCCGGGAATGTGGATTAATGGTAGAGTGTTTGTATCGCATGCATGAAGCCCTGGGTTCGATCCTCAGTACCACATAAACAGAAGTGGCATTGTGGCTCGCAAGTTGGAGAGTGCAAACCTTGAGCAAAAGCAGCTCAGGGACAGTGCTCATGCCCTGAATTCAAGACCCAGGACTGGCAAAAAAATTAACAACCAATATAATGAAAGTTTAACCACAATATCTCCTAAGCAACATTTTAGTGATTAGCCAGCCCAGGCAGGAAAGTCCAAGAGACTCATCTCCAGTTAACCACCAGAACACCAGAAGTGGCATTGTATTCAAAGTGGTAGAGCTAACCTCAGAGACAGGGTCTATCTAGGCCCTGTGTTCAAGCCCCATTGTGGACCAGAGTGGGATAAAGTATGAGCTTTACTGTAAAGCATCTTGCAAAGGATGAAAACTGACTGTGCACCGGTGGCTCACACCTGTAATCCTAGCTACTCAGGAGGCTGAGATCTGAGGATCGCGGTTCAAAGCCAGCCTGGGCAGGAAAGACCGTAAGACTCTTACCTCCAATAAACTACTAGAAAACCAGAAGTGGCACTGTAGCTCAAGTGGTAGAGTGCTCGCCTTGAGCTGAAGAGCTGAGGGACAGCGCCAGGCCCAGAGTTCAAGCCCCATGCCTGACAAAAAAAAAAGGATGAAAACTAGCAGAATCACTTAGACAAAGTAATTCTCTTGGATGTATGTCAGGGATTTAAAGGATGATTAGGTATAAAATGCAACATTTTCCAATCAATATTGGTTATCAAAAATGCATGGAGCAATCCTGAATAGTTATTTTGAGATTCTCATTAAAACAATGGACAGAAAGTTGTCTCAAATACTATTTGTGTCCATTTTTTTTTTTAACGAGAATTTTCTATTGCAAAGCATGGTATATTCCACAGCCAGCATTTGAGAGTTGAAGCTGGGTTCAGGGAAGATTAGATTCTGAATGTGTTAGTAGGTTCTGTGCCAGCTATTTGCCCAATCAGCTAGAACCACTGATCCAGCAGTAAATGATTAAGCACATTTAATAATGTTTCTCAGAAGTCACTAAAATGTCAGAATATTTTAAGTTTTTGTTAAGTCTTCAGTGAACAAGTTGCAAGATTTGTGAACAAAGACTGTTTTAGGGCCCCACAAATAGCTTCTGAGTAGGATGGTGAGACTTAGGGTGTTGCGGCCTGTTGAATAGGGTTAAACCTGTGAAGCCAATTGTTTCATTGGCCATTTTTATTTTGGGGGGGGTCCGGTCGTGGGGCCTGAACTCTGGGCCTGGGCGCTGTCCCTCAGCTCTTCAGCTCAAGGCTTCCAAGCCCATTGGCCATGTTTTTTATCTTATAAAATGAGTATTTTTATTGGGCTTAGCCTAAATACATTAGAAAAATTGCATCTTGAGAAAAATTCAGACTAGTTAACTTCATTAAAATAATAGTTACCAGCCAGGCACTGGTGGCTCACGCCTGTAAGATCTCAGGAGGCTGAGATCTGAGGATTGCAGTTCAAAGCCAGCCCAGGCAGGAAAGTCCATGAGACTCTTATCTCCAGTTAACCTCCAGAAAACCAGAAGAACTGTGGCTCAAAGGAGTTGAGTGCTAGCCTTGAGCAAAAGAGTTCAAGCCCTGCAGTCACCACCACCTCCAACAACAACAACAAACAAGATAATAGCTGCAGCCTTACACCCCTGGCTCACACCTGCAATCCTTAACTACCCCAGAGGCTGATGTCTGAGGATCACAGCAAGCTAGGAGTCCATCAGACTCTTTACTCTTTTTTTGGGGGGTGGGGGTGTGGGGAAAGGGGGTCTGGTCATGGACCTGAACTCTTTTTTTTTTTTTTGGTCCGGTCGTGGGGCCTGAACTCTGGGCCTGGGCGCTGTCCCTCAGCTCTTCAGCTCAAGGCTAGTGCTCTACCACTTGAGCCACAGCGCCACTTTTTTTTCTTTTTGCTTATGTGGTGCTGAGGAATCGAACCCAGGGCCTCAGGCATGCAAGGCAAGCACTCTACCACTGAGCCACCTTCCCAGCCCCTCTTTGCTCCTTTTAACCAGCAGAAAAGCTGGAAGTGAAAGGATAGCTCGCTTGGTAGAGCACTGGCCTGGAACAAAAAAGCTGGCAGACAGTCCCCAGGCCCTGAGTTCAAATCCTAGTTCCAGCACACAAAAAAAATTACAGTTATGAGTAGCAACAGAACATACTTGGGCTATATAGAGTAATGAAATTTCCAGGTACATAATTTTCATAAATGAGTTAACCTATCTACTTTTCTCAGTTGAAAGCCTACTTAGTACTGTAAATGGCATGTCCATTCTATTGGTACTTCATCTATGACTCAGGTCTTCAGCCGTTGCCCTTTCCACCTTCAGCAGCAGTAAGCTCGAGAGGGACGTGGGGGTTGGGGCTGGCCGCGTGTGCCTTCCATGCTTCAGGCCCAGCACCATCACCAGTCAGCTTCCGTGAGAACTGCGGCTGCAGGCAGATTCCAGTGCAATTACATGTGCCGCCTCACATTAGTGCAGCTTCACTGGGCCTGAGGAAAGCATTGTTCCAAGTGTTCAAACCTGACTCTTCAAATCAGAGTTGACTAGCTTTCTCCCAAGCTGAAAGTTAAACAGTCGCTCCAACTCATTCCTTAAAATGCATTCAAGAATCCGGTCAGTACAGTAAGTTTGGTATGAGAGCTTATGTAAGTGCTTGCACCGATACCAGTTTTCTTGCCCACTGAAGTCTCACTTCAAAGGAATTATTCATGAGAATAACAATACCACCTTAATTTGTTTTTACCTATTGGCTATTTTGATGACAGTAGTAGTTCCTGATTTTCTCAAAACTCAATTTCCTGTTTCTTCATGACTATTGGCAAAACTGCTCATAGAGTTTTTGTTGGCACTCAGAGCTGACCAGCGTCAGAACTGTACAGTTTCTTCACATGGATGAGTTTTGTCTAATCCCGTCTCAAATGGAAATCTATATAAATAGTTAAAAATGAGTGGTAAGGTGGGCACCGGTGGCTCACATCTGTAATCCTAGCTACTCAGGAGGCTGAGATCTGAGGATAAGAGGTTCAAAAGCAGCCCAGGCAAGAAAGTCTATGAGGCTCATCTCCAATAAACCACCAGAAAACCAGAAGTGGTGATGTGGCTCAAATGGGTAGAGTGCTCACCTTGAGCTGAAGAGCTAAGGGACAGCGCCCAGGTCCAGATTCAAGCTCCATGACAAAACAAAACAAAAACGTGGTAAAGCTGGTGGCTCAGGCCTGTAATCCTAGCTACTCAGGAGGCTGAGATCTGAGGATCGTGGTTCGAAACCAACCCTGGCAGGAAACTCTCTGTGGGGACTCCAATAAGCTACTCAAAAAAGACAAAAAAAAAGAAAAAAAAACAGAAATGGTGCTGTGGTAGAAGTGGTAGAGTGCCAACCTTGAACAAAAGAAGCTCAGGAACAGTGCCTAAGCCCTAGCTCCAGGACTGGCAAAAAAAAATAAAAAAAAGTATATATACACACACACACACACACACACATACCTGGTAAAAATAAAGATAAGGTGCAAAGGAACTTGCCTAACAAAAGGCCCAGAGAGAACAAACCCTGATCAAGCCTATATATATATAGTATGGGGGGTTGGAAGCATGGCTCGGTTGGTAGCCAGCCACT